GGATGTCAATTTTGCCGTAGCATCGCTCAGCAAACTCACTGTTTCATCGGATTCCACATCATCCATGCCCTGGAAGAACCAACACTTCAAATCCGGCTTGAACAGTAGAGCAGTAGATACGGTAATTTGGTGGTTTATGCTGATATTTAGCGCATCAAAGCCGAAAAAAGTTTGGATTTGAATGTTTCTAGCATTTGCGGGTCTAAGCCGGCCACTGATCCTTACCATAGCATGCTTGAGGCGTTTGATTTCGTCCTCACTATTTTTATAGGCTTCAACTTCTTGCTGTATCGCTTCAGCTACCAGTGGAAATGAGCTTCCTTTATGGTTCATCCACAGCTTATCATGCGGGTTCATATCGTACTCCTTTCGTCGTCCCGTTTTGTCTTTGATTACCACACGATTCAGATCCAAATCCTGAAAATCCACGGATCCACTTTTATCCTGCTGCAAATTCCATCCGATGACTATATCTCACCCACATTAAATTTCAAATTTTAACTTTGTATGTCTACTGATAGGACCCTGTAATCCGGTTTTAGAATAGAAAGGTATTTTAAAATAGGAAGAATTGAACTGAAAATAATATTAACAAATAAAAATTTTCTGGAACTTCTGTACAAGTTTTTTGGATTCTACAAGCACTTACCGCCACCTTAACTAAACATCTATAATTGTTGAATCCGAAATAATATATTGAGACCATTAGAAGGCCGAATCGTAATCTTAAAGTAAGTGGATGGTCCAAAATAAAAGTTTGCAAAGTGAGCCTACAATTAGAATATTGGGAAGCTTATCGTTTCTGTCGAAGAATAAGACCCGAGCTAAACTGCTCTCCGTATTTACTCTCTATTAAAGGCAAAAGAATTCGAAAACAGTTCCAGTGATACAAATGCCAATAACAACTATTCGCTGGCAATACTACTGATGCCACACTCTGTCGATGGTTGTTTATAAGCAAGCTGATGGCGGGTTTGACTGCTCTCCAGTACATGCCAGTACCAAATTTACCATCGAAACGAATCGTAGAGGGATTAGTTGTCCAACTGGGGTATTGGAACTTTCGACCTACTACTGCACGACTACAGTGCTATTACTCATTGCGCCATGCCTGCCGTTAAATCACCAAATAATAAAGGTAGCGTTTTTTTTGTTTTACCAATAAATCATGGATGAGTGCTTGATAGGTCCATGTATGATGAAGCATGGTGGCCAAATCAACACCACGATCGGCAATAATCAAAACGGGTCGATGGAGGATCAATCGGCCAGCACGCATATTATCTTGCGCGAACAAATTGTGTCGTGCATCACGAAAATTGTCCCGTAATTTCTGGTCCAAACGCTACAAAGAAAATTTTTCAATTTCAACAATTACAGATTAAATATGAGGTGCTTAAAACGCGATTACTAGTTTCTGGATAAATTTTTGGATAAAATGAATGCGAGAGGAAGTTGTTTTAATCTCGCTAGAATGGTTTTTTTTTTTTTTTTTTTTAAATCTGTTCATCACAATATACAGATTAATATGAACTGGCAAGAACAGTATCGTGGTGATGTAAATATGCTGGCATTCTGAGTCCTCCATCAAAGTCTGGAAGGGTGTGCAAGTTGATTTTATGTTTGCTGATTTGAAAAATTGATTTTATGCCAAACTCAGAGCTACCGTGGTAAATAAAAAAACCTACAGAGAGCGAGAAAAAAAACGGGACTATTAGTAGAAGGGGAAAGATCCGAAGAAATGCATGAAAAGAAGACTGTCGCAGCACCATATCAAATAACAACCACCCCTTCCTTAGCAATAGGACAAAAATGTGGTATCACATGCAGACCAACAGTATTCGTACAGCGTTTACGAAGGCAGAAATTATGAAAAATTAAGCATTCGCAATATTGAAATAGACATTTTTAGCTCCTTGAAAAGCCGAGTCCAACTGAGATTTTGAGTTTTTTTTTTGGTTCATGCTAGTTCAAAAATAATTAATTGCGATTGTCCCTGACCTCAAAGTTCAACAGCTTGTTAAAATGGTACGAGTGCAAAACGATTTC